AAGAAGAAGAGGTGGAGGAGGTGGTCGTAGTGGTTGTTAGTGATAACTTAGGAAAGAGAGGAAGAAGGATAGGGGGAGGAGAGGAGAAGGGGGGGTGGGGAAAATGGAGGAACGTAAGGTAAGGAGGGAGGGGGGAGGGAAGGAGGTATCCTGATCCGTCGTCAGATTTTTATTCCTCTCTTGGTATCATTTCTTGTCTCTTTTCTGATTTTTCTGATTTTTTTATTTCTTCATTGATAAGTTTCCATTCCAAGAAAACAAGAAGTTTGCGGGTGGAAGGCAGGGAAATCGTTTTTTTTTCCCACTCGCAGACGCGGGAATAGGCAAGCATGGACACGCAGGCACGTATTTGCTTGGTAAATGCAAACAAGTCCTGACGAGTATACTTGAATCATCTCTCCTTGGCACTTTCTATTCGTCTGCATCTCTCCCTTCTTTTCCCGACTTTTTTTCCGCCTTCTCCTTCTCTCACCTCCCTCCCGCCCCCCCTACCCCCCTCCCATCTATCACCATTTCCTTCTGCTTTTTTTCTACTTTTCCTACTTTTTCTTCCCCCCCTCTTTCCACTCCTCCATTCCCCAACCATTACTCATTCTGTATTGTTTCCTCTCGTTCTCCCGCTTTCCCTTTCCCCTTCTTCATTCCCTCTTCCCCTGAGTCTTTCCCCCCCCCTTCCCCTTTCCCCTTTTCCCCTTCATTCCCCTCCCCGTCTTCCTCCCCCCCCCCCCCTTAATCATTACCTCTTCCCCCCTACTTTCTTCCCTCCCCCTCCCCTCTCCCCCATTCTCCCCCCTCCCCCATTCTCCCCCCTCCCCCTCCCCACCAGTCCACCCACGCGCACACACGCAGCGTCCGGCCCGGAAATAGCTGTCCGGCAGGTAGAGAGGCTCCTTGAACCTGGCCCGTAACGATATTCCAGGGATCCAGGTAGAATGCATGGGCGTGTGTGTGTGAGGGGGGGGAGGGTATGAAAATGTGTGTGTGTGTGTGTGTGTGTGTGTGTGTGTGTGTGTGTGTGTGTGTGTGTGTGTGTGTGTGTGTGTGTGTGTGTGTGTGTGTGTGTGCGCGCGAGAGAGAGAGAGAGAGAGAGAGAGAGAGAGAGAGAGAGAGAGAGAGAGAGAGAGAGAGAGAGAGAGAGAGAGAGAGAGAGAGAGAGAGAGAGGGGGGGAGGGAGAGAGGGAAAGAGAGAAAGTACGTTATTTATGTCTGATTTATGTCTGTTTCGTCTCCGTGGGGAGCCTAGTAAGGCTTGGGCGTGGGTAGGGAAAAGAGGGCTTGGGTAGGTTATAGTAGGGTGAGGTAGGGTAGGAGAGGGTAAGGTAAATTAGGATAAGAACAGGGTAAGGTAAAGGTGGATAAGGTAAGGTAAGGACAAGGCAAGTCAGATAGGATAATGTAAGGTAACGTCAGAAGATGGGCTTCCACTTTCGCGCGCGGAGAGGGTAGGTTTGGGTGGGTCGGAGGGTAGGGCGGGGTAAGGGGTGGGTTGTGGAACTCGTGTAGGCGTTTAGGGCGTGGTAGAGGGCAGGGGATGAGGGGTGGGGGGGGCAGGGTGGAAGGATGGGAGGGAGGTGGAAGGGGTTGGCGGCGGCGGGGAAAACACCTGTGTGCGGAAGCGGGTTCGGTTGGAAGATTTAGGCTCATGTGTTGATTTTTGTTTTATTAGTAATGTTAATATGGTTGCATTTTTGTTATTATCTCTTATTCGTTATTGTTGCGATGCTACTGCAGGAACTACTGCTACTACTACTAGTTGTTGTAGTAGTAGTAGTAGTAGTAGTTGTAGTAGTACTACTACTACTACTACTACTACTACTACTACTATTATTATTACTATTATTATTACTATTACTATTACTATTACTATTACTATTGCTGCTGCTGCTACAACAACTACTACTATTATTGCAAGTGCAGATCCACTGCAGTTTTTTCTTTTTGTTTTGTTTTGAATTTCACTAATTTCCTGTTTTATCACTGCGCGAGTGTTGGTCATGTTGATTTTTCAATATCTTGATTGCATTATGCATTCGGCACACGCGTCGCGGCGAAAGTTACAGCGTTGGTGTTGTTTTTTATGCATGTGTATTTTTTTTTTACATTAGTTTTGAAAATAGTTTATTATTTCGTTTGTAGTTATTGTTCTCCTCTGCGTTGGGCAATTTGGAATGAATGAATAAATTTGGAATTTGGGTTTTGTTTTACATTTAAATAGTTAGCAACAGTGTATATTGCTGCGAAAAAAAACAGAATGAAATAGTGATAAAACAAATGCGCATCGAGCAGAAACACGCACTGCACCCTAGTACACGCAACCCTCTCTTATACAAGCACGCGAGCAGTAATATTAAGTGTTCATGATTCTTAAAAAAAAAAAACTTTATTTGATTTTAGTTTGGTGACTGTTGGGGGTTTCATCTTTGTCAACATCATATTTTAACCCTTCATCGTCAACCTTTATTAGTTGTTGTTTTTTTTATGTCGTTTTCACTTCCCTTCCTCCCACGAAAGCTTCCTTAAAAACTTGATTGAGTTTTCTTCTTCTTCTTCTTCTTCTTCTTCTTCTTCTTCTTCCTCTCCTTCTTTCTTTTTTCTTTT